ACCATGGTGACTTACACCGGGACCTCTTGTGACGCGTCCCTAGCGACGATGGCCAGTTGCTCCTGGCGGAGCGACATGGCGCGTTTGGTCCTGATGATGAGACGGAAAACGAAGTTGGGATGGCGGCCGACGCTGCTGTGACGGTGTTTGTGGATGTAGTGGTTGAGTGTAAAGTTGCCCATCGACGTACAACTTATCCACTCTCAGCGTAGCCCTTTTACCGTGACGTTTCGCTTCCTTCATGATCGGGATGAGCTCTCTGCGCCTCTCGTTAATCTCGGCGGGAAACTGTTCATTAACGGTGAACTCATTTTTGCCCCTTAATTTGACTGGCGCCGACTTTAAAACCATCTCGCGATCCTTTCTATTTTCGAATTTGGCTATAATCGTTCTGGGTTTCCCGTCTGATCTGGGCCGTAACCTGTGCACAACACTGAAATTCATATCGGACTCGATTTCTAGCTGTTTCTGGATAAATTCTTTTACAGTCCCCTCCGTGTTTTCCTCCCCTGACTGCTCCGGTATACCCCCGAATAACAAATTATCCTTCATAGATCTGCTCTGGAGAGCAAGTATTTGTTCTTTCATCTCCTGACACTCCCACATTTGATCATCGCGAACTTGCTCTATATTACTGACCCTCTCCTCAACAAGTGTTTGGTGAAAGTCAATTCCAGTTAACTTCTCCCCGTGTTCCTTTAATTCATTCCTGATCTCGCTTATAGTTTGGTCAACCTGTGCAAATCTATTTTCAATGGAATTCAATCTGTCATATATTCTGGGTAGCAGTTCAAGTTTGGATAGTCGGTTGTATATATCAACTATTACAGGGTCTGAAGTTGGGGCGGGTGGGGCGCTGTGCTGTTGAAAAGAAGTTGTTTAAAGATTTTAACAAATTTGAGCCCTGTGACTTTGATTATAAGTTAAGGTCATTCACTTAAACATGGTAGCACTTAATCCCATCATGCTACAGGCCAAATATTATCATCCTGCGACTTTTGGTTATTCAGAAAAAGTTGTTTTAAGATTTTGAACATATTTGATCCTTGTGACCTTAAATATAATTAAAGGTCATTCATTTAAAGAAATATTAACATCCCGGGCCTTTCGAACAATTGACCCATGTGACCTTGAATATAAGTGAAGGTCGTTCATTTGAACAAACTCGGTAGCCCTTCACCCCAACATGATACTAGTCAAATATCATCACCCTGGGCATTTGGGTTATTCAGAAGAAGTTGTTTAAAGTTTTTATTTAGACAATTGACCCATGTTACCTTGAATGTAAGTGAAGGTCATTCATTTTAACAACCTTGGTAGCCCTTTATCCCAGCATGCTACTGGCAAAATATCATCCCCCTGGGCATTTTGTTTATTCAGAAGAAGTTGTTTAAAGAATTCTTACATATTTTACCACTGTGACCTTGAAAATTGGTGGTGGTCATTTATTTGAACAAACTTGATAGCCCTTGATCCCAGTTTGCTTCTGGCCAAATATCATCACCCTAGGCCTTTTGGTTATTAAGGAGAAGTTGTTTAAAGTAAAATATTGACGCCGCACCATGGCATAAGCTCACCAGGTGAGCTAATAATCACCATAGGCCTCTTTGTTATTCAGAAGAGGTTTTAAACATATTTGACCCCTGTGACCTTGACTATAAGTCAAGGCATTCATTTGAACAAACTTGGTAGCACTTTATCCAAGCATGCTACTGACCAGATATCAACATTCTAGGCCTTATGGTTATTCAGAAGTCGTCTAAGTCATTCACGTAAACAAACATGGTAGCACTTAATCCCATCATGTTACAGGCCAAATATTATCATCCTGCGACTTTTGGTTATTCAGAAAAAGTTGTTTTAAGACTTTGAACATATTTGATCCTTGTGACCTTAAATATATTCAAGGTCATTCATTTAAAGAAACTTGGTAGCCCTTCACCCCAACATGATACTGGTCAAATATCATCACCATAGGCCGCTTGGTTATTCAGAAGTTGTTTAAAGGTTTTAAACATATTTGACCCCTGTGACCTTGGATATAGATGAAGGTCATTTGTTTGAACAAACTTGATAGCCCTTCATCCCAGCATGCTTCTGGCCAAATATCATCATCCTAGACTTTTTGGTTACTGAGAAGAAGTTGTTTAAAGTAAAAAGTTGGAAGCCGGACGGACGACGCTGCACCATGCAAAAAAACCCTGAATGGAACTCGTCTTTGTAATTATAACTGGTGCAGTGGTACCTGTTAAGGGTACCTGTTAAGGGTACCACTGCACCAGTTATAATTACACAGAAGAGTTCAATCTTCACACATCCCCTAATTTGACACTTACTCCCAAACTTTAGCATAACATGTCTGATCCTTTGCCACTTATTATAACTCTGTTTATAGTACATCTTATTGTGTGACCTTGGACCTATGACAATTATTGACATTCTTATTTAAAGCAGGTATATACAGATTATAACGGTAGTAAGGATTAAACAACACAGCTGGTGGTATTTAGCTACTTTTTATTCATGGTTGCAGTTCAGGTGAAATGAAGTGTTAAATTCATAAATCACCACATACAAACATACATTCGAAATTCATTGGCATAACTAATACAAATGTTATAACGGTAACACCTCTTAGTAACGTCAGCAGCGGTTCTACATACACCGATGTTTAGAGGAGTTCACATCTGCCAGGCCTGCATACAATAACACTTAAAGAGGATCTGACCTACATTGGATGGGCCCAGGTACGCCTATGAAATAGGATAGAATTTACGACAGAGCAGAAGGGGAGGTAAAGTTAGAAGATACTAGGTCTAGAGAAGAAATGTCAAAGAAAAAAAGCTGGTCAGCACTAGATAGTAGCTACTATTCATGTGGGAAACAAAGTTGAAAATGAATTGATGTAACACTTGTATGACATCATTGTTGTCCTCGACATAACATCGTAAAAAATGACCTTGAACTGACCTTCTCCCTTACAGAGATGACCTTCTCACTTCATCAAATATACACATCCATCACACACTCACACTTCAAACATCGTTTTTTCCACTTACAGACAAGAATTTTAGTTAAAACAATCATTTTTTCTGTGGCAATAACAAACATATACATAAAACCATGTAGAAGTCCAATGCTCCTCCTACATCTGAACAATTTCATGATTGGGAGTTTTTTTGTTTTACAGGGATGGACTGTACACACTACAACTCTTACACAGTCAAGACAAAGTTGGAAGGCTTGGTTCTGACAAAATCTAAATTCTCTCCTGTCAGATATGAACCATTCTTACTTTTCACTAGAACGGGGAAACTGTACCTCACAGGTAAAGTCACATGTATACAAAACATTTTGACATATCTTTATGGCATTTAATATACTGGTATTAACTATTGAATATCACATAAGTAAATGACATTTTGTGGAGAACTGCTTTTGCAGAGAAATATTTCACAAAGAATTTTGACAATAAATAATGATTAATGTGATGTGTCTGAATGGTAATGAGACAATGACAATATTGCTAAATTTATAAGCATGTTATTAGAAACCTAACAATGTAAAAGTAAAACAAAATGTTATTTCTTAAAAAACAATTTTCCCCTTAACCGTGTATGAGTGAGAAGATCTATTCTTTTTAGATGTTGGAATGATAATCTGTACAATACTTGCTGAGTACCATTTACCTGTTGTGTCACATGGAGATACTACAGATACAGATACACCAGTACTAAGTTATCAGCTTTTGAAGTGAGAAAGTAACAAGTGAAACACAATCAGCACCAGTGACATCTACATTTAAAGTATACCCAAAAACTTCACAGGTAAAACCTTCACATTCTGATTTGGTTTGACCACCAGTAAACTGTAACACTTCAACAGAGATCTGCTTCAGAGAAAAGGTTTTATTAACACAAGTGGCCTTACATTGATCATTTTTTTGTGAATGTTATTCTGACAGCAATATCACCAATGGGAGATACAATTTTTTGTGAATGTTATTCCGACAGCAATATCACCAATGGGAGATACCTCAAAATGCACATATTCATATCTAACAAAAACAGGCTTTATCTTACCAGGGTTCATGGATAAGTTATCAACATAACGTCTTAGAAACACAAAGTAATCAAGCACTATACATGTAATAGTCTACACAGGCCCACTAAGTCTGTCCACCACAAGGTCAGGGATAACTACTCATTAAGACATTTTCTAGTCTTAAGATATTATGTATGGTTTTGCTTACTTCTGGGTTGTTTCCCTTAATCCTGGTCCATTAGGCTTGTTGGCAACACCAATTTACCTAACAGTGGTGTGGACAAGCAAACAGCTATCTAGAATACTTTTGTTTGACAAAAACGACTTAGGGAATTTTACTCAGCTACACTACAGAACTGCATTCAATGTACTAGACTAATGTGCTATGTTAACTTGGATGAACTGCTGATCAGATCAGAAACCATGGTCTGATCCAAATTATTGGAAAGTTGCTGTGTCAAGAACTCTTGAAAAATCTGTTTCTTAATCCAGATTTCATTTAAATTTATCCTGTATTCAGAATCCTTGTAAATCTACCTAATAAGCAGACTCCACAGAAATCTGGTGTGGTTTCCAGAATTCATGAAAATCTGTCCAGTTTCAAGGACTCATGGATATCTGACCTGTATTTAAAATCCTGTTAGCATGCAGAATCACCTAGTCTTCGCTGCACTCGGTCATTCACTCGTACTAAAGCTGTTGGTTATTTATGGTTTAAACCTGGTCAGTACTTATACTCAGCTTAAACATTGAGTTTTCATTTAAATTCCTGTTCTTCACAGTTTCACTAATCTCTAATGATTAGGAGGCAGGGTAGTCTAGTGGTAGGATGCCGGGCTTGTGACCGAAGGGTTGCGTGTTCGAGTCGAGTCACGGCACTGTGTTTTATCCTTGAGCAAGATACTTTATTCCGCTTGTTCCAGTCTACTCAGCTGTAAACGATTATGTAGTTGGGCAGTGCTGGAATTGTTAAATGCTAGCTGTGAGTGCCTAAATGGCAGCACCTGCTGTATGGTCCCCACCATAAAGGCCCTATAACCACGAGGATAATTTGTTAACTCCTTTGAGACGACCTACGAACTAGGTTGTAATAAAGCGGTATATAAAAACCTCAAACTATTATTATTATAATGATTGTGTACGTGATATGTTGATGCTTCCATTAGGTATTTTGTTAATGCTTGTTGTTTCTTTAACAACTTTGCTCAAAACCCTCAGATTCCCTTGAAATGTGAAATGAATCTTTTCCAGATCCCGCAAACCTTCTTGTGGTATCCAACAGAAAACCTGATGCTTCAAGGAAAGGTTTTAGCACAATCTGACATTTGCATCAATGGAGTCTGATGTAAGCGAGCTCTCCAGATTACAGGGATACATCCCAGGTACATCTTCTGTCCACTTCATGAAGCATTTTTCACCTGTCTATGGTATCCAGCTGCTCCTGGTATTCTGTGAACAGTCTCTGTAGATTTAGATTTTTCCCAATTAAAGGTAGAATTTCTTGTAAGATATCTCGCTTGTCCATACCCTGTAAAACAATGAAGAATATTCAGTAACAACAAACCACAAAATATCAAATACGAATTGTTCATATCAATTAATGAGAATAAACTATTCACCATTCTAGCCAACCAAATAAGTATTAGTTGAATTCAAAACAAACTCAAAATAAGAGCCCTCTCAGATATTTATAGAACACCTTGCACACTTCCTGTTTAAGATAATTCCTTCATCATCAGATATTTATAGAACACCTTGCACACTTCCTGTTTAAGATAATTCATTCATCAATCTATTACAAATATTTCTTTTGAAAAGTGTCTACATCCTGCACTAAGAGGTCATCTATTACTAAAAGAACTGTTGTTACTTCTGACACTACATGACAACCATTGCTACTTCTGACACTATATGACAACCGTTGCTACTTCTAACACTACATGACAACCATTGCTACTTCTGACACTGCATGACAACCATTGCTAAGTCTGACACTACATGAGATCCATTGTTACTTCCAGCACAACATGAGATCCATTGTTACTTTTGACACAACATGACAACCATTGTCACTTCTTACATTACATGACAACCATTGCTACTTCTGACACTACATAAGATCCATTGTTACTTCCAGCACAACATGAGATTCATTGTTACTTTTGACACAACCTGACAACCATTGTCACTTCTTACATTACATAACAACCATTGCTACTTCTGACACTACATGACAACCATTGTTACTTTCAGCACTACATGACAACTATAATTACTGCTGATACTACATGACAACCATTGTTACTTCTTACATTACATGACAACCATTGTTACTTCCATCACTACATGACAACCATTGTTACTTCCATCACTACATGACAACCATTGTTACTTCCATCACTACATGTCAACCATTGTTACTTTCGACACTACATGACAACTGTTGTTACATCTGACACTATATAATAAGCATTGTTACTTACCAACATGAAGTTATTCCAGGCAGATTTGCGCTTGGTTTTATATATAGGACCTAATAACTCGTCACAAACCTCTCTCAGCTTTGTCTCTAAACCTATAATATAGTGTACAAATATTGTCAGTTTTCGATTAAAAAATTTCCTATAAGATTTTTTTTTTTTTTTTTAAATATAATTTGTACTTGTTACAAAATTGTAGTTCAACTTTGCATGTGATAATAGTGATATTGACATTAATCAATGTCTACAATAGTGCCAATGAATTTTGTTATCCAAGTTTGTTTTTTACTTAAAACTCAGAAGGGCCATTATCTATGTCTCCATGATACATCATGGAATTCCCTTGGCATATAGTGAATAATCAGTGACTTTTTGAAGATTTATCGAAATGTTGTCAAGTCCCACATTAAAAGCACAAGTTCAGGTCTCAGTTGGTGCTCCTTTACAAATTAGATGGAAATCCTTTCACATGTACATCATCTGTTATCTTTTAAAGACTAACATCTAGTGTATTTCCCATTTTGGGTCTCACTCCTCTGTCCCAAAGGAGGACACACCCTTTCTTCATATAACATGTTATTCCCTAGACCCAAAGAAGATCCATACCAAAATAAGTCTAAATGGCATTGCCTGTCCTGGACAAGTAGTCTTTTAAATAACAAGAGGCCCATGGGCCTTAACGGTCACCTGAGTCTACAGTAATTTTTTTTTGTTGAAATATGTACCAATTTGAGTAAAAAATAGTATAATGTTAACTTAACTTTGTCAGGACCATGAGCTGATCATTCCTAGACCAATTTTAAGTGAGATCGGCCTATTAGAATTTAGTAGCAAAATAGCGGCCATGGCAGCCAAATTGTATTTCTGATTGACCCGAAAAATAACAACACTTTGTCAGGACCATGAGGCGATCATTCCTACCAACTTTCAGTTCAATCGGTCCAGCAGAACTTGACTTTAAGTTTGAAATAGGTTTTCAAAATGGCGGCCGTGGCGGCCATATTGGATTTCTGATCGACCCGAAAAATAACAACACTTTGTCAGGACCATGAGGCGATCATTCCTACCAACTTTCAGTTCAATCGGTCCAGCAGAACTTGACTTTAAGTTTGAAATAGGTTTTCAAAATGGCGGCCGTGGCGGCCATATTGGATTTCTGATCGACCCGAAAAATAACAACACTTTGTCAGGACCATGAGGCGATCATTCCTACCAACTTTCAGTTCAATCGGTCCAGCAGAACTTGACTTTAAGTTTGAAATAGGTTTTCAAAATGGCGGCCGTGGCGGCCATATTGGATTTCTGATCGACCCGAAAAATAACAACACTTTGTCAGGACCATGAGGCGATCATTCCTACCAACTTTCAGTTCAATCGGTCCAGCAGAACTTGACTTTAAGTTTGAAATAGGTTTTCAAAATGGCGGCCGTGGCGGCCATATTGGATTTCTGATCGACCCGAAAAATAACAACACTTTGTCAGGACCATGAGGCGATCATTCCTACCAACTTTCAGTTCAATCGGCCCAGCAGAACTTGACTTTAAGTTTGAAATGTAAAATGTTAACGGACGACGGACGACGTACGACGTACGACGGACGACGACGGACGAAAACGGATAGCAATAGGTCACCTGAGCTAAAGCTCAGGTGACCTAAAAATTAGACAAAAGGACAAGAGATGCCACACCAGATCATAAATCATTTGGACCAGGTGAGCTGATGAACTGACATCAAACTATCCTATTGTTTCCCCTGTAGCAGTACCCTGTGTAGAATTATCCCCCCCCCCCCCCCCCCCCCGAGGTTCTCTAAGTAGAATTATTTTCATTGTAGTGGTGTTTTTTTGCATTTTGCAACAAGGTACCTTTCTAAATGGATACCATTGTAGAGCTAACAAAAGAAAAATAGCATATTTGTTTTCACACAATATAGAAGAGAATGTAATATGTTGCATAATTTATATATATGTTGCAGTGTTATTTGTTTGCATATATCACAATAAACAGACCTTCTTTGACAATATAGCGGATGTAGGTATGGAGCCAGAACTTATACTCTGCTCCAGACTGGAGGGACACACAGGCCGTGAGCTGGGACTCTAGGTGACTAATAGTGGCTGTCTGTTGGAGGTGGTGACCCGAACTCATCACACGTCTAGCCAGGGACCCAAGTCTATAACAAAAAAACATAGGTTAATGTATATACCAATGACCTGAACTCATCACACATCCAGCCAGGGACCCAAGTCTACAATACAACAACGTATGTTAATGTTTATACCTGACCTGAACTCATCACACGTCCAGCCAGGGACCCAAGTCTACAAATACAACAAGTTAGGTTAATATACTAGTGACCCGAACTCATCACCATCCAGCCAGGGACCTAAGTCTATAAATAAAACAACGTAGGTTAATGTTTATACCAGTGACCTGAACTCATCACACGTCCAACCAGGGACCCAAGTCTACAAATACAACAACATAGGTTAATGTTTATACCAGTAATCTGAACTCATCACACGTCCAGCCAGGGACCCAAGTCTATAAATACAACAAGGTAGGTTAATGTTTATACCAGTGACCCAAACTCATCACACATCCAGCCAGGGACCCAAGTCTATAAATTCATCAACATAGGTTAATGTTTATACCAGTGACCCGAACTCATCACACGTCCAGCCAGGGACCCAAGTCTATAAATACAACAACATAGGTTAATGTTTATACCAGTGACCTGAACTCATCACACGTCCAGCCAGGGACCCAAGTCTACAAATACAACAAGTTAGGTTAATATACTAGTGACCCGAACTCATCACCATCCAGCCAGGGACCTAAGTCTATAAATAAAACAACGTAGGTTAATGTTTATACCAGTGACCTGAACTCATCACACGTCCAGCCAGGGACCAGAGTCTATAAATACAACAACGTAGGTTAATGTTTATACCAGTGACCCAAACTCATCACCATCCAGCCAGGGACCTAAGTCTATAAATACAACAACGTAGGTTAATGTTTATACCAGTGACCTGAACTCATCACACGTCCAACCAGGGACCCAAGTATACAAGTACAACAACGTAGGTTAATGTTTATACCAGTGCCCTGAACTCATCACACGTCCAGCCAGGGACCTGAGTCTATAAATACAACAACGTAGGTTAATGTCTATACCAGTGACCTGAACTCATCACACGTCCAACCAGGGACCCAAGTCTTCAAATACAACAAGGAAGGTTAATGTTTATACCAGTGACCCAAACTCATCACACGTCCAGCCAGGGACCCAAGTCTATAAATTCATCAACATAGGTTAATGTTTATACCAGTGACCCGAACTCATCACACGTCCAGCCTGGGACCCAAGTCTATAAATACAACAACATAGGTTAATGTTTATACCAGTGACCTGAACTCATCACACGTCCAGCCAGGGACCCAAGTCTACAAATACAACAAGTTAGGTTAATATACTAGTGACCCGAACTCATCACCATCCAGCCAGGGACCCAAGTCTATTAAATACAACAAGGCAGGTTAATGTTTATTCCAATCACTATTAATTATACAAAAAATATTCAGGTTTCAATTTCTTGTTTGGCTTCAGTGTCATTTCCTTGACCATTGTGTGGTAAGAGATTCATGGAATTTGTACGTCCTGTTGTACTTCCACCGGGACAGTTAATTATCATCATTCTAAATTTAAATAACAAAAAATAACCAACCAAGGCATATTTCTTCCATAACTATTTTTTCATTACTCTAAACTCATTTAATTTTTACTATTAAAACTGATTACCATAATATTCCATCAAATGACACTATCACTCATAGTTTCTGACACTTTGCTGCGTTCAAATTCACCTGTTGACCATGATGTCATAACAGAAACAATTGACATTGTTGATATCAGTTTTTAAACTATCTATAAACTTGTTCAATATATCAGACCCTCGGGATCATGCTTAGCGAATCACGTACAACGTCCCTTTTCATGACGTTATTTGAGGCTGGTCAAGTCAAAACTTAAGACAATTTTAGACACAAGATCGTTTCATGACCTCTGGGCCAGATCACATACTGAGTAACATGTTACCACTAACAAAGACACCTTTCTTATAATGGCTGTATTGTTGGATCCTCTATCTTTTGAATGCAACAAAAGAAAGCACAGGTGCTACATGTGTTCCTCCAGTCCTGTAGATAGTCACAAGATAAAGGATGTACATATTTCTGTGAGATACACGTATATACTAACCAGTCCTGTAGAAAGTCACAAGATAAAGGATGTACATATTTCTGAGAGATACACGTATATACTAACCAGTCCTGTAGATAGTCACAAGATAAAGGATGTACATATTTCTGTGAGATACACGTATATACTAACCAGTCCTGTAGATAGTCACAAGATAAAGGATGTACATATTTCTGTGAGATACACGTATATACTAACCAGTCCTGTAGATAGTCACAAGATAAAGGATGTACATATTTCTGTGAGATACACGTATATACTAACCAGTCCTGTAGATAGTCACAAGATAAAGGATGTACATATTTCTGTGAGATACACGTATATACTAACCAGTCCTGTAGATAGTCACAAGATAAAGGATGTACATATTTCTGTGAGATACACGTATATACTAACCAGTCCTGTAGATAGTCACAAGATAAAGGATGTACATATTTCTGTGAGATACACGTATATACTAACCAGTCCTGTAGATAGTCACAAGATAAAGGATGTACATATTTCTGTGAGATACACGTATATACTAACCAGTCCTGTAGATAGTCACAAGATAAAGGATGTACATATTTCTGTGAGATACACGTATATACTAACCAGTCCTGTAGATAGTCACAAGATAAAGGATGTACATATTTCTGTGAGATACACGTATATACTAACCAGTCCTGTAGATAGTCACAAGATAAAGGATGTACATATTTCTGTGAGATACACGTATATACTAACCAGTCCTGTAGATAGTCACAAGATAAAGGATGTACATATTTCTGTGAGATACACGTATATACTAACCAGTCCTGTAGATAGTCACAAGATAAAGGATGTACATATTTCTGTGAGATACACGTATATACTAACCAGTCCTGTAGATAGTCACAAGATAAAGGATGTACATATTTCTGTGAGATACACGTATATACTAACCAGTCCTGTAGATAGTCACAAGATAAAGGATGTACATATTTCTGTGAGATACACGTATATACTAACCAGTCCTGTAGATAGTCACAAGATAAAGGATGTACATATTTCTGTGAGATACACGTATATACTAACCAGTCCTGTAGATAGTCACAAGATAAAGGATGTACATATTTCTGTGAGATACACGTATATACTAACCAGTCCTGTAGATAGTCACAAGATAAAGGATGTACATATTTCTGTGAGATACACGTATATACTAACCAGTCCTGTAGATAGTCACAAGATAAAGGATGTACATATTTCTGTGAGATACACGTATATACTAACCAGTCCTGTAGATAGTCACAAGATAAAGGATGTACATATTTCTGTGAGATACACGTATATACTAACCAGTCCTGTAGATAGTCACAAGATAAAGGATGTACATATTTCTGTGAGATACACGTATATACTAACCAGTCCTGTAGATAGTCACAAGATAAAGGATGTACATATTTCTGTGAGATACACGTATATACTAACCAGTCCTGTAGATAGTCACAAGATAAAGGATGTACATATTTCTGTGAGATACACGTATATACTAACCAGTCCTGTAGATAGTCACAAGATAAAGGATGTACATATTTCTGTGAGATACACGTATATACTAACCAGTCCTGTAGATAGTCACAAGATAAAGGATGTACATATTTCTGTGAGATACACGTATATACTAACCAGTCCTGTAGATAGTCACAAGATAAAGGATGTACATATTTCTGTGAGATACACGTATATACTAACCAGTCCTGTAGATAGTCACAAGATAAAGGATGTACATATTTCTGTGAGATACACGTATATACTAACCAGTCCTGTAGATAGTCACAAGATAAAGGATGTACATATTTCTGTGAGATACACGTATATACTAACCAGTCCTGTAGATAGTCACAAGATAAAGGATGTACATATTTCTGTGAGATACACGTATATACTAACCAGTCCTGTAGATAGTCACAAGATAAAGGATGTACATATTTCTGTGAGATACACGTATATACTAACCAGTCCTGTAGATAGTCACAAGATAAAGGATGTACATATTTCTGTGAGATACACGTATATACTAACCTGTCTTGTAGAGGTTGTAATGAGGCCAGTGGGCCTGGAGTCCTGAGTATAGAGGTGGCTGGTGTGTAGCTATGGTGGTCTGAGCAGTGCTGTAGTGGATCATCTTTATTATATAACAGCGCCCTACAGTAAACCAATGTTAATAATGTACCATGCAATCCACATACTACATTGAATATTATTAATGTCACTTTTTCAATCTGATGTGACTTCATATTCAACTTTAATATCTAACCATTAGAACCTTGATCAACAAAGTCTGGTACCAGTATTGGCTTATGTACTCCTAAACACCTACATTAAGAAGATATCTGCCTGAACCAATTATCAAATTGTATGGCTGTGTATTGCCAATTTGATACATGAGAGTATAGTGTGATGGTATTGTCATAATTTAAAATTATCCTTTGCACTTCCATATTATGTTAAGTTATTTTTTCGTTAATTTGGGATGGGGGCCTTTTTTGTCTGATTTAGGGAAGAAAATATACCATTTAGGAAGGAAACTGTCAGTATTACACTGCAAATTGGAGAATTAGGCATATCAAATAGTCTCCTTTGGTAATGGGGCCCATTATCAACCCCAAAAAGTCCCCCAAAAAAAGAGCCCTGATATTAAAAGATGCTCTCTGATGGGTTGTTGTGTTATGGAATCAGTGTCCTTAGCTGGTGTCAAATTATTCCTCAGTATACTTTCTGAACACAATAGCGCAGGGCTAAAGTGTAGTTAAATATAACATCTTTACTCACCAGCATCCCAGATCTGAAGAGAATGTAAAAGACTTGTGATTGGACAGCGTTACCATAGGAACACCATCCGTTGTCATGGATGCTCGTGTAATAGTATCCTCTCCTGTAGAATAAATCAGACATTACCTTACACACTTGGATTATTATCCAGAGTTATCTCCCCCTGATCATATATTGCATCACACAGTGAAAGTGAAATACAGCGTCATTCCTAACTTTTCATGGAAATAAATGTATCATGTTATTAAACTTGTTAAAAGCTGACAAGAATAATGAAACACTTTCCAATACAGTGGTGACCTTGACTTCCTAATGTATAGAGTTTTACATACCTGACATGATGGAGGAAAGGTTAACATCTTTTATCACAGCAGTTTTGGTTTGCATATTCCTACAATAAAAGGTTTCAATCATATAGGTACAAGGTAGTAGTTAGAAAGAAAAACTCTATCTCAGTTTTTATAACTTCAAAAAGGGTACTAAAAGATTTTCTACACTTCAAAATGACATTCCATCTTGTTATATGCTAAACTGCGACACATGATTTGCTACATATAAATAGTCATTAATTTTCTTTTAGCTTGTGGTATTTATGGATGAAAAGTTCAGAACTATTTTTGATACTGGAAAAACGACCATAACACATTCCATCCAAAAAATAGGAATACATTGATGAAAATTAGCCAGAACTCATCTTTTAATGTTTCCTGGATTTCAAATAAATAAATAAATAAAAGCTCTACTTTTTTGAAGGGTTAATGACGGTCTCTGGTCCCCAAAAACCACACCCCTCTATATCTGCCTATGGTGTTTATGATAGTGTTACAGTTCATGATATAGGTAAATTTCATAACAATTCATTGAAATTACTCGTACAATAAATAACAACAAAAGATTACCAGATATATAAGCTGCCTTTTTGTGAAAGAGCCATCACATAATAGCCGTTGACTGACAGTCTTGCCACTCGAGAATTGAGAACAAGTTGCGGCACTAGACGACGCCCACAGCCTGAGTACACATGTACCGACCCATCTTCACAACCAACACACATGACCTCCCTGGAAACAATACATTAAAGAGTCTCATATAAAATGGCTTTTTATTGATATTTCTCTAGTGAAGGTTTTATGGCTGAAATAATAGTTTTCTAATGTGAAAAACTATTCACAGTTAACTGACCAATCAGAGAGCAACAATTCCTGTTAAAACAATAATATTTTTTATGATGTCATAGCTAAATAGCCAACAAGAGTAAAATAATCTCTCCAAACAATCAAAGAGTTGTATCCATCAAATTATTTTAAACATCAAAAGTCATAATTATTACATTTTTATTTTGTATTGCAAAATCTGATTTTTCTTAATTTTGACCACTTCGGACTAACCAGGGCACTGGTAGGTCAGCAAGAACATACCCTGTATACATTTCTCATTTATAATCAGCAAACATTCTGAAAAAATCTTTTGAAATGAAAGTGTGGTTAATGACGGATCAACATCACAATTAATATAGGGCACTTGCATGTCAGAATTAGGCCTGTATTTGCAGAAGTTTTAGTATAATGATATGACTTAGTTAAATATACAGTGAATTTGTACCTTGAGCCTTCAACAGCCAGGATCCTGGCAGTATGAACCTGCTCCCATTCCCGCACACCATCCCGCACTAACTGGATGCGATGTACCTTATTTGATCCTAGAGGAATGTCATTTGTTACCTCCAACATCAAAGATTTCTCCTCAGCAGCACGCCCATGGACCTAAAGAGTGAAAAAGTGGTCTTCTTTTGAAATTAAGAAACGTTAATGGTTATCAAAATAAATCCTAATCACATTTTCTTGCTGTTTAAAATCAAAACACTACTGAACACATACAAAATGAGTAAAACACCTTTTAATATCAGAATTATCAATAGTTCAAAGTTAGCTTTCTACTACGGCATTATAGTGCTAAATGTGAAAATCATTTGGTACAATCCCCTTATAACACTTTTCCATAAAACAAACATTTTTTTCTTTTTCTTTCATTAACAAAACAAAAGATCTGTACATATGATCCCAATGCCAGCAGTTCAACTTACATATTTGGTGAAAGACTTTTCTACGGATGGTGTTGGAAGTTTGAGTTCCGAGCTTGTCGCTATATATTTTATAGTCTCTTTCTCTACGTGGGTTTGCTGAAAGTACAAAATACACTATTTTAAATGGGAAATGGACAAAGAGAAAAATCTTAATCTAACTAGTGTTCCGATAGATTTTTTATCTGTCCAAATCTTTATTTTTGAACATTTACCGGTGTGAGGGGAGTTGATGTCATGGCTGCTGCTAGAGCTCTCTCCTTGTCGACTTTACGAGGTCGGCCCCTTCTCTCTAGTCGTTCCCCGTGAGCCCCGTCGTGTTTACGCTTCACACCCTTCATCTTGTCCTTAACCCTGTCCTTTTCAGGTCTGTAATAAAATAGGTGTGATACAGAGACTAGCCGGTTTACATTAAAATCTCAATGATGCGAGACATAATTGCTAATACAGCATACCTCCTGTTTGCAATACTGCATACCTGGAAACTTTGACTCAGTGAAACACTTTCTTTAACCTGTACAATTCATACCTGCCATGCATTATGATTGCCACTCACACTGGAAAAGGAAGCTGTGTACTCATTGTTGTCATCCTAATAATTAGCTGTCATTATGAATGGGGAAATGGGCAAAAGTAAAATGGTACTCTCTACTTCATCAGTATAAGTATCCCGGTCTGTCTTCATTTCCAACTTCAGTTACTTACACATAATCTTAACTTAAACCTGGACACACAGGTTAAATCTTTTTGCAGATATGGAAGAAAATTGTCATTCTGTAGATAAGCTTTTTTAAAGAGATCGTCATATTTCTTAAGTTATCACCTGTAAGAAAATTTAATTTTAAACTCAGTTAAGATGATGCGATTTCACAGGAGATTGTAACTTGTATGTCCTCACCTCTCAGGTGTGATAACGAGCGTCTTGGATTTCACCTTCTCTGGTTTGTCAACATTTTCCTTTACAGGTGTAAGGGCTGCCATTGGCTGTAAAATGGAAGAAGCCCAGGTAAACCACAGGGTAAACAATCACCTGTATATATGAAACACTAATCTCCATGTATGAAAAGTTGATCATTTCATTTTTTAGTCACTATCGTACACTAAAGCTACACCTGTCAGTTTGTTTTCATATCTCTCTGAGCTAATGCAAACCTCCTTTTTCATAAAATTAAATTTGCCTTCCATTTCAGACTGATGTAGCTGTCACCATATTCACTTAGTTGACGGATTTTCAAGATTGTAACAAAACAAAGACTATTTCACTATCCCACGATGTAGGACAGAACTTTTTAGAAAATCATTCATACCATCATTTGTAACACAATGGAATTCCCCCAACTCCTGTATAAAGTCAACCCATTCTCTTGTTGCATTTAAAAACTGTTTCAAACATGATGTTGTTTCTATTCCAAAAATTTTAACAGGAGATAGAAAATTTACAATTTTACACACCAGACTTAGGAACAAATGCAGCAGTCTTCAATATGACGTTTATAGAGTTAACCTCAGTGATAACCCTTTATGTTTATGTGGGGAAGTAGAAAATGTACATCACTATTTCTATACATGTCCAAATTACTCAACTGTAAGAAATCACCTGGTAAGAAATCTTAGGAACTTAAATCTTCCAGAGATCCTCCTAACAGACATAAACACACTTCTCTGGGGTAATCATGATCTCACTTTTGAACAAAACAGTAAAACCTTTAACTATGTATGTAAGTACATTAAGGATACAAACCGCTTCTAGTAAGTAGTCTTAATTACAACAATTACATCATGTTCGAAGAATTGAATTTTCTTTATCTGTGTGAAAACCTCGGTTAATTCTCTATGAGTAGGTCGGGGTACAGAGAAACAGTCGTCAACAACCTATTTTAATAATTCAACTTAAATTCAANTTTGTCATTTTCAAGGCAATACAAATATGTTTAAACAACAAAACAATCCATGATGAAGGAAAGGCGATGCTGGACCACATGGGTTGAACATTGAAAAAGTGCTATTTTATTTTGAAACTTATGACTCCTGAACAAAATAGTTTCATATTTGCAATACTGCATATCTTATACACTTCAGACTGTCAATAGTAATGGGAAGTCATTTATCTCTAAACAAAAATTTCATTTCCCCCCACTAAATGACCCCACCTCTTTTGAGAAATTACTCACCGGAATTTACTTTATGTTCAAACATGGTGTAGAGTACCATGAGTGTCCCACCTCAAGCTCAAACAAGATGAAGATTGGCTTACTTCACAATCATACTCCTTCAAAATAAAACCACCCTAAATACCTGATTAAAGATCTCTGCCATTAATTACCTGTTTATAGCTCTCAATCTACCTTACCTGTATGAGGGTGTTGATTGGTTTGGGTGACTCCGCCCTGATGCTAAATTTCGGTGTGGCCTCACTGCTAGACCTGGGAGTAGAGCCTGCAGGAGGTGAGGACATACTGGCTGTCTGGTTTGACTTGGGTGATGGTGAAGCAATACCTGGTCGTGTTACAATGTTCTGTTTCTCCACCCGGATCTTACTGGTGTCTTTAGATGTCGTGAACTTTATACTGCTGCTTATAGCACTATATGGGGCAGGAATAGCACTGAAATAAACATACAAAGTGTGTATTACATAAATTGTGTAATTAAGTCGGTAAACGCTAGACCAGTGTAACACCTATCACGTCTACCGGGATCAGATGGCTGTTATAGTGACATCGCAACAAGAAAGACAGAATGAAAGTCAAAATATGCCACTGGCAAACACATTTTTCATTCAGAATATACATGTGTTTTGATTACAGAATATGTATGATACGCATATGTTATAGACAAGACTACCAATCTGAATATCTTACGAGTGAAGTTTCCACAATAACAAAACAGAAGTACCTACCTGCCATTGACATCTGGCTGTGGACAAAGAAATATTGGAGTGATCCTCCGTCGCCCATCAGGTGTCTTGGTTTCTATCTGCTTGTCTCTTGGCTGAGGAACCAAATCACAGCATAACACTAATACATAAAATATTTGCAAAAAGTACATGTTCATAAAAAGGAAGATGTTTTTTTCTACTTTTCACAAAGAAGACAAATATTTTGATTTTTTTCACATGACCCTGATCTCTTGATAAGAAGTGTAACCAGGAGTGAAGGGTGAGTGGAGTTTGGGTAAGTAAATGTAACTGTGCTATGTAGTATAGAATGACAAGTAAGTCTGTCAGTGACAAGGTGCAGGAGTTTCATGAATAGCAGGGTGGACATACCCATGGTTATTGGTTTGAATGGGGGGATAGGTCATTCTAGCTAGAGACAGCACAGACAACGGTGGATTTACACAAAAATGTTAATGCTTCTAGATTCTTTACAAGATTCAATTATCAAAATCAGCAGTAATGTAATTTTCATTAGTCATCTAGACATCATAAGGGATTCAAGAGTTTTTGTGATTTATCAAGTTTTTCTATTTTTTTTAACCCTATGGTAAGGTCATATATGTGAAATATGATCGTTATACCATATCGATCAGAGAACACGTATGAGCGAGGGTTGAAAATACATTTTGTGTACAAAACGGTCACAAATTGAACAATGTGTATATTGATTAAATGGCTGCTCCATCGTCTCGGAACAGGCTACTGGCATATATGTGTTGATTGTTTTAATTGAATAGGACAGGCTAAACTAATGAACAATATAGAGCAACATCAGACTATGATCATGATAAATAAACATGAAATTATTAAATGTTTGCAAATAATATGTCACTATATTTAATCAAAGCAGTTTTACAATAACTCTTTCCCCGGATAATCTATTATTTGTTACTAATTTATCTAAAACACATTGTATAAAGTCTATCTTGATATGGTACACCAGAAATAGATTAATATCATCAAGTAGGGCGAATACTTTGGTACCTGTCAAAAGTGCAAAAAAATAAGCATTTTTGGTAGCTAAGTATTTGTAAAAAATAATTTTGTGTAATTTTAATATATGTTCACTGTGAGAAATGTTTTCAGGTAATGAAAGAGACTAACAATTACTGAGAAAACCCAGGAAATGTTAGAGGTACATCTTTAGTTTTTGAAAAACCTTCTATATGTGTACCTTGAATGGTCCATCCAATCCATTCATCAACGAAGACCGACTACCGGAGGTGTCCATTTTCTCCGGCGTCTCCTGTTTAGATAGTGGGAACTGTTTTTTCTCCTCCTCCTGTTTCTGTTTCTGCTGTTGTTGCAGTTTGAGGAGAGCAGCTGACTCTATGATCTGATTGGCTGAATTACCTTGAGTTTTCGCTGTCAAGCATCTCCCATAAATCTTCTCCAGAAACATGCTCTATAGAGGGAGAGAATCAATGACTTTATATTTATGCTTTTTATGATTATATCACAGCTTCATTGTCAATCTAAAACTGAGGCTACGGTCTAACACTTCATAGCCCAACAACATTTGTTTTTGTAGACTGAGATTTTGGATCTATCACCGAAATGCACACGGTAATTACAGCATAAAAATGTACATGACTTTGATGTGAAAATGCCTTTTTTGACAACCAAAAGCTTTAAAAGCATGTCAAGAAATTTCCAGTTCAATACTTGAAAATTGTTTAACATACACACATTCAGGTACAGACAAAAGTATTAATACAGCCTTCACAACATTTGTGAAGTGAGGGACAAAAGAATCATTACCAAATAAAACAGTAATAAGTTTTGTACTCACCATCTCCTTCCGAGATAGGGCCACACCAATCTCTTCTGGGCTAAAGTCTACATAGGCGATACTTCCATCACAAGACCCAGCTACTAACTCCATTCCATTCTGTCCCCTATAGATATGCAATGACCATAAGTACAGATCCAAACCTTTCATTGTGAGGGAAATGTGTCTCTTTTGTCCTTTTTTAAACATGCTTCATTTCTAAACCCAAAATATCTCATGCCTCATTACATGGGTAGAAATTAATACTGTAATTCAATTTATCATATAACCCAAGTAGTGAATACTTAATTTTACATGAATTCCGCTTGAAAAGATATGAATCATGTGAAATGACAGTTTCAGAATTATAAAATGTAGGCCAGCAATACACAGAGGACATGATCAGGACTTTTAATATGTAGATCTGCAATACACAGGATTTCTAAGGACTGAATACTGTGACAGATAATATGTAGGTCTAGAGCAATACAAAGCATTTCTAGAAGAATTTAGTAGATTCCCCTCCATGCTTACCATGAGATATCCAAAATGGAATTGGTGAACAAATCATGAAGAACAACCAGTGGCCGTTTCAATGAAGTCAGCTGAAAGGGAAAATGTTCAAAATGTGTCTGTAATTTGTTAAACACACATGAAATATTTCCATTATTTCAAATGAATTTATCACTTAGCACTTTAAACTCTCAATTATGAAACATATTAAAGAACTTACCCACACAGACAATGACCTGTCTCTGCTTCCAATAGCACAACATGTGTATTGCTGTACCTATAAAATGCATAATAGTGGACCAGTTATGTAAGTAATATGATTACAATGCACCAGTCAGTCAAATAACCTTTTATATATGCACATCATTTATTAATATCAATGGTTTTTTTATCAATTTTATTTTGGAAATGTTCAGTGTTACAGAAACCAGATCAAGTTTGACTGTAAAAGGTACTGTCACTTGAGTATCCTAAAATGGCTAAAGCTATCAAGCCTGAAAGCCAATCAGAAACTTCTGTGGTTATATTGGATTATTTAAACAAAAACTATGTTTATTTATGCGTATGAGAGACACATATTAATCATGGATGAACATGACTAGACTTTTGTTATTTCTTCATTAAGTTAATAAACTTTAAGTACAATGAACTCTTACCTTTTCTGATGATTTTTTCGATTTTTTGGAGAAGATGTTTGGATTAAATCTCTGCAATGAAGAAAATTATTGCATGAATTACTTATACATGTGGATGCCATTTTAAGTCTCTCTTTCATGACAGTTATATTCACATTTTACTGAGGAAAGATTAATAGTCTAACATATTTAGGGCTGTGAGCAGTAAGGGCAAATCTCTTTTTTTTAAATGATCTACTTTTATTCAACTCAACCCTAGATACACTGGTAAGGGAAAAGAGGAATTATATGTCAGGGTGTCTACACCAGCCTTCCACAAATAATTTGATGTCATCCAATTAAATTAAGTGACATCATTGCTTGCACTGAAATACCACAATTATTCCACACACACACAGGATAAGGCAATTTAAAACCCCATGTCAAGTCTTCTCTTATATGATAAGTATGGAGGACAGGGATATGTAATATGATTTTGGAGGCATAAATTTAGATAGGTGTCATGGCCTTGCTATATATTGAGGGCTTTGTAACCACAGATGGGCCTTGCTTTACACATAAGGATCTATTACCACAGATGGGATAGGTATTGCGAGACACATAAGGATCTATTACCACAGATGTGATAAGCCTTGCTTTACACATAAGGATCTATTACCACAGATGGGATAGGTATTGCTTTACACATAAGGATATATTACCACAGAGGTGATGGGCCTTGCTTTACACATAAGGATCTATTACCACAGAGGGGATGGCCTTGCTTTACACATAAGGATCTATTACCACAGAGGTGATGGCCTTGCTTTACAGATAGGGATCTATTACCACAGAGGTGATAGGTATTGCGAGACACATAAGGATCTATTACCACAGAGGTGATGGACTTGCTTTACACATAAGGATCTATTACCACAGATGGGATAGGGATTGCGAGACACATAAGGATCTATTACCACAGATGGGATAGGAATTGCGAGACACATAAGGATCTATTACCACAGATGGGATAGGGATTGCGAGACACATAAGGATCTATTACCACAGAGGCGATGGCCTTGCTTTACACATAAGGATCTATTACCACACATGGGATAGGTATTGCGAGACACATAAGGATCTATTCCCACAGAGGTGATGGCCTTGCTTTACACATAAGGATATATTACCCCAGAGGTGATGGCCTTGCTTTACACATAAGGATCTATTACCACAGATGGGATAGGTATTGCTTTACACATAAGGATATATTACCACAGAGGAGATGGCCTTGCTTTACACATAAGGATCTATTACCACAGAGGCGATGGCCTTGCTTTACACATAAGGATCTATTACCACAGATGGGATAGGTATTGCGAGACACATAAGGATCTATTCCCACAGAGGTGATGGCCTTGCTTTACACATAAGGATCTATTCCCACAGAGGGGATGGCCTTGCTTTACACATAAGGATATATTACCCCAGAGGTGATGGCCTTGCTTTACACATAAGGATATATTACCACAGAGGAGATGGCCTTGCTTTACACATAAGGATCTATTACCACAGATGGGATAGGAATTGCGAGACACATAAGGATCTATTACCACAGAGGTGATGGCCTTCCGATGTCCCACAAAATCCAGAGTACACTTCCAGCCATCTCGCTCGATGATCTGGGCCACCGGTCCCGAGTTGTTCATGGCGTGAGCAGACACGATATAGTGACCATCGGGGGACCAGTTCAGTCTCAGAACATGGGTTGTACCTCCACACTGTGAAAAACATGGTAAAATAACATGTGTTGTTCAAAATATTATAGACTTCTGCATTAAAAATTTAAGCCTTGAACTGTTACCAGATGCAGTAAACAGTCGATATGAATGCAATTTGAGTGACAGATAGATATCGCCCATTAATTTTCCAGAAGAAATATAGTACCTCTTGTCATTGCAAACCACAGGTACATAAAAAGGTTTGAACACAAACTTAACTTTATTATTTATTTCATATGAGTGTGTATATGTTGAAAAATTGTTAATAATTGCATGACCTCTGCTTGTTTAAAATTAAAGCTATTTTTCGCGCATTGATAGATTACATGTATTTGGAAGTGATGCGGCGCTGAACGGACTTGATTGTTTCCATCAACTGGAATATTACGTTATTTTCAGAAGCACATATACTCGAAGTTTTTTAATTAAAGTGGTCCTTTCAGTAGGTGATAACGATTCCAAGGACATTTCATTTGAAACAGATTCCATGTCTAATCGGTCAGATTAGCATCGGTAGCAGACAATGTTCACAGGGGCTCGGTTTCATGATTTTGAGTAATGGATGACATCACTGAAGAACCACAACACTTAAAAAAGTATGTATACACATTCTAAAACCTTGTTGATACCCTCGACTTTTACAAGTTTTTATAAATGCTGAATTTTAGGGTTGTGCTTATTCACTAATGTTATGCATAATTCTAAATCCCGAAACCGAGCCCCTGTGTGATGATGTTGACAAACCTGGTAATTTCGTATCTAGAATGGTGCTTACAATAATTTTGTGGTACCTACACATCTTATAAAAAAAATATATTGTCATAATTTGTCAAGTTACTTTATTTTTTGGCGATGACTTACATTGCTAAATGCTAACGAACCCCGAAAGTTCTTTGACTATAGGCCTATTGATACCGAAAGTATCTGGTGGCCATGTTTTATTTACCTAGGACACCTGGAGCTGTATTCCTACACTGACCGAATCACTGTAAATTGCAATATACAGTTTCATATACTGGAGTTTGGTTTGCTAACGACATATAGGCAAATGCAACACAGAATGTAAATATTTGTTTATGGACCAGATCTGTGTCAGATCCAGTTACCTCTTTGTACAAACGATTGTCTATTATTTACTCTTAAAATAAATTGAAATTTGATCTATTGCCTAAATATAAGCCCATTAATGCAAAAGACAGATGAAGTATTTGAGTTATACTCCAGTCACTTCCTGGAACAGTTCAGCAATCGCTCACCTCCTGGAACGGTTCAGTAATCACAGATTCCTCCTGCCAGTCCTTAGTTCTCCAAATCCTCACACTCCTGTCATCGGACTGATAACAGATACATGTTTTGTATACCAACCAAATTTGTATATTTAAAGCAAATTTTAGTACATCACCATTTACGTTTCAGCAAAAATTACAGTTGTATTTGTTCAATGTTTCCCCCCCCCAAAAAAAATATGCAACATAATTGTTTTAAATAATAAAATGATCCATCTGACTTATAAATATACTAAGATATAAGCTTGGTGCTAAAACATTTCTTGATTTTAATTAATTGAATAAAGTGATGTAGTCAACATTTCCATTATTGAGCTGTAGTAACTGAATGTTTTAATAAATATGTGTTTACCTGAGAGGCTAGGTACTTGCCGACAGGATCCCATGTCACCCCCTTCACGAGACCTTTGTGTCCTTTCAGCATAACAATTTGTTCTGTAATCAACAAATTCTTGATTTAACATTATAGAAACAATAACATTCACTTCAACCTTTATTTGTTTCAGTCAATATTACCCAGTAATATTTATCTCAAGGGTCGATATAACATAAACATTGAGCCACATTACCTTGAGACCAAGTTAAATCAGTACCTGTCATCAACAGACAAAACAATATCAGTCCTGATCTATTGTTTAACTCACCATTGTATGTGTTCTGATATCTTATTTGATATTTTTTTTTATAATTATCACTAATTTAATAATTTTACTACAAATATGAAACAAGTTTTATGAACTTATATTAATTAGAGGCGTCACGATTCACCGCGATGCACTTTTATCACAATTATTTATGTCCGATTCGATTCACGATATATTTTTCGGGATTTTCAATACGTCACGATCTGAATATTAGTGTATGCAGCTTCAGCCTAAACATCTGAGAGACATTCAATTTCATTGGCTGATCTCTAAACCTTCAACCCATCGACTGCGAGGATGCAATTTTCACAAAGCATTCAAAACAAAATGGCAGACCGCCGCAAGGAAATGAAAATTTGTGATGCTCCGGCAAGCTTCAAATCAAAAGTGTGGAAACACTGCGGGTTTCTGTGTATCGACAGCTTATATATCTCATTTTGTTTATACTTTAAAACAAAGGTGTATCAAATCGATCAAATTGTGGTACAAATATCGAGATACGTATCGAATCTTCAAATCAAAAGTGTGGAAACACTGCGGGTTTCTGTGTATCGACAGCTTATATATCTCATTTTGTTTATACTTTAAAACAAAGGTGTATCAAATCGATCAAATTGTGGTACAAATATCGAGATACGTATCGAATCTTCAAATCAAAAGTGTGGAAACACTGCGGGTTTCTGTGTATCGACAGCTTATATATCTCATTTTGTTTATACTTTAAAACAAAGGTGTATCAAATCGATCAAATTGTGGTACAAATATCGAGATACGTATCGAATCTTCAAATCAAAAGTGTGGAAACACTGCGGGTTTCTGTGTATCGACAGCTTATATATCTCATTTTGTTTATACTTTAAAACAAAGGTGTATCAAATCGATCAAATTGTGGTACAAATATCGAGATACGTATCGAATCGTGGGTAAAGTGTTTGGTGATAGCTCTAATATTAATCACAGTTTCTTTTATCTGAATGGTAGCCTGTATGTGTGGTTTCTTTACGTGACAGCACCCAGACACAACTTACTTTATCCGGGACTTGACTCTATACCTTTTCATATCCTATGGAAGGAACTGCAGCCTGACCGTTTTGGTAAAGTGCACTTTCCACTGCACCACCCAACCATTCGTAATATTTTACGAATTAAGTCCTAAATTCTTACTTGGTCATAGTTTTATCAAGGAACTCGCATGACTGTCATTCCAGTTACTTTTTACCATTTCTTAAATGCCTAAAATATTTCAGTTTTGAAGACAGAAATTCTTACTTAATCAACGTCACATCAAGGAACTGGAAAGTCTGTCACTTTTAGTTACTTTTACAATTTCTTGAATGCCTAAAATATATAACTTTAGAGTGGATCAATACTCAGCAGCCTACCTGGGAACTTCTCTGCATTCCACACGATGATGGTATTGTCTACACTACAGGTAGCCAGCCAGGCGTCATTACCTGACCATGACAAGTCAAGAATATCTGTAACACAAACAACAATCTCCATTCTATAATTTTGTTTTGGTTCTAAAAGAGTCATTAAGTTTAATTTTACCAGGGATGTACAGTTTCACATTTTGAGTACTAGACTGCAAACAAATAAACCAGCCAAACCTATAATTTTGTGGAAAATAATAAAAACATTTTCTTTTCCTTACATACAAATTTATGAGTGCCAGATATCAGCTTAGCAGAATTGTGAACCTGTTAACTTGAACACTTCAAACTTGTCAACATCCATGAAAATCAGTTTGTTATATTTGTGTTCAATAAGATTCATCATATGTTATATCCAAGTTTTACGTTAGACAAAACATGACACAATGTTTCAAGAACGAATGGTACCTTTGTCAAGCTATGACTGTGTGTTATATTTGTCAAAATAAAACATTTCCGAAGATGAATTATTAATCTGATACTACAAGTAAGTCGAAGCAAACATGCTAGGCAAAACAAAATGTTTCCATTATCATCCTCAGAAAAAACAGGGTAGGTAGAGTAGATAACTTATTTTTAATGCTAGAAAACATTTTAATTTGCTTTATATATAGCAGGAGTTCTGACTTCTTCAACAGTGCATATCACTAAATGCCAATAAAAACTATAGGATAGGCACAAAAATCTAGGGTCTGTAGGGTTAGTGGAAACACAATATTTGTTTTTTATTTAGCCTTGTACTTGGTTGGTTGATTGCAGACTTATGCCATACCTCCAGTGTGTCCCCTGAGTGTACTGGCAGGCCGCCACTGCTCCACATTCTGTTTGCCAGATCCAAATACACTGGTTCCACCTGCATAACTGCAATCACAAAAACAAGCATTATATGGATGTTATAAATAAATTTGATCAACATGTATAATCCATTGTGTTGAGCTTCTATCATGAAGTGTAACTATTAATCAACCTAAAAGATGTGCTCATCATTAATAGTAGAGCTAAGCCAAATTATATTATTCTTTTCAGGCAAAACGTGTCATTTCTTTTACTGATATCCTAGGAGGCCAAAAAGCAGAATCAACCAAATGTACTTTATATTATTACGAAAGTTAGCTTTGTATATATCTGAAATAGTGCTCAACATTGCATTCTAAGAAGAAATTAAACAGATTTCAGGAAAAGCAAAGAAACGTGACAATACCTTGATCAAAATACAATATATTTTTATGGGTTCTTTTCAACTGTATCGTGAAAACAATGGGTTCAACAATGTAAAATTTAAGTATTTCCAGAAATTCTACATGACCATTTAAATTCTAGGAGTATAGGACTCAGGACTGATATGTAGATTTATCACTGCAAAATACAGGTTACACATGTACATACTTGGATATCTGCCAGATCATCACCAGTTTGTCATCTCCTGCAGAAGCTAGATACTTCCCACTGCTGGACCACCGGACACAATTCACACACGCTATACAAAGGTTAAGAAATGTATCAGTCATTAAATCCAAATTTCGCTTAAGGTACAATGTCTATCAGACAAACTCATCCTTATAAATGTTTCACTTTGTTTTAAATATCAGGGAAACAACGAAAAGTCATTGCAAGCAATGAATCAATTGTATTCTAATCTTTGCAAAAAGTATTCTCTGAAAATAATTATGTTTGTATTTGCTTTAAGTAATTTCGATAAATGCTTGTTATTAAGTCAATATTCCACATTGTTTTCTTACGATCAACTTTATAGAGATACAGTATCGATCGAGCCAAAATTTCATTCATGTTCTTCTAAGTTAATTATTTTGTCAATATTCCTACAACCTTTTAACCTACTAATATAAGAACATATTTCCTTAATTTTAGCCATGCTTTCCCTTTGGTGATATTCGACGTTAATTTTTTTTAAACATTTTTCATGAAACCACAACTTATCCGAAAGTCCCCACGTCTTTGACACTGATATATCATGAGCTCTAGAGAGGTGTCTTTCAAGAACACCTAAAAACTAATTGTGTGTTTCTGGTTTCACCTCTAAAAAACTTAGAGCAACTGTCAGTAGGTAGGGGACTATCTTAATTTTATCACAAAAATATAACAAAGATACAAACTGTCAATTAAATGCCAGCAACAATAACAGCTATAAAATGTGAATAGTAATCAATACAAATCTGAACTATGTTTAAATATGTAGTTATCTTTAATCTATCTAAACATACAAATTGTAAAATGAAATATCCTGGCTCCACTACAGTGGGTTTTACCGAAATTTTACATCAGCCTATTCCTTTATAAATTTTTTGGTCATTTTTAAAAGAGAAGACACTTTTTAGCTAGGGGAAGCAGTCTGTATTCAGCTGTAAAACACAGCAAAAATCACTGCACTATCTATTTATCTTCAAAGTAAAATACTTTCTGATTAAGCTTAGAATTCTAATTATACTTATCTGTAAATTGCTATACATTACACCACTGATATATAGCACTTAAATCTGCTTGCTGTATGTGAGGGTTTTCATAGGAACTTCTGATACTATACCTAGGTGGTTGTCCATCTGACACAGGAGTTTAGGAATACTGTCATCTTTCTCCTCCCTTTCATCTTTGATGGGTCCCATATTCCATATGGCGACCTTTCCTGAATCTTCTCCTGTTAATAACAACATCAAACCCATATTTTCTTATCAACATATCGGACACAACAACCAGTACTATTCACTGAATAATATATAATAATAATAATGTTGTTTTTGTTACCTAAATTTTCCAACAGCCTGTTCCTTTATGAATTGGGAAAATATAGCATTATTTGTATTGAAATTGGGAATATTTTCCTCAGTTTTTTGGTTATTTTGGGGAAAATAAGGCACTTTTTAGCTAGGGGGAAAAGCCTGTTATCGGCAGTAAAACTGAGCAAAAAAACACCTTAACAAATGAAATCAGTTTTTCTGAATTGAAAATTAACTTTATATGCTATTGATGATCATCAAATGCATTACCTATATAAAGCACTTTCTGAAAACTTTCTGCTTTTGTGAAACAAAATTAAAAGATGATCTGGCAAGCAAGGAAGCATATCTTAATTACCTTGACCGCCAGTAGCCAATCGAGATCCATCTGGATGAATATCCACTGAAAAAATAGGCTTTCCTGCAAAAGGGAAAAAAATAACTCAGGTGATTGTAATGAAATATTAAAAGGCCAAACAAACAAACAAAATGTTTATTCCCCCGTTATAATAATAATAATATACAACATTTATATAGCACCATATATGATTTGTAAAATTACTTTAAAGCGCTTAACAACATATGGATAATAGTAATGGTTATAATTGTGAAAACAAAAACATAGGCTTAAAATCACTTTTATACATTTAAGCAAGCAATGTGCACATAATTGAACAAATAAAAGGGTGGTATTTACATGACGTCTTTGCAAGGATTCTAAAATGCAGACGTGAAGAGGTGAGTTTTGATGTCCCTCTTGAACTTGGCCAGGGTATTTGACTTTCTAATAGCACATGGTAAGCTATTCCACAACATAGCCGAAACCCTCCCAAAGCATGTTTCCATAGGTCACAGTACGAGATTTTGGGACACACAACAAAGATTTTGACTCCGACCGCAGTGAGCGTGACGGCTGATACAGGGTAACAAGATCCTGTAGGTACTGTTCCATTCAGTGCCTTGTATGTGTACACCAGAATTTTGTACTGCGACCTGTATCGTTTACGTAACCAGTGAAACGAATAAAGCACAGGTGTATGTGCTCTCTCTTTCGAGTATGAGTTATTAGCCGTGCTGCAGTGTTCTGGACCCTCTGCAGACAACTAGTTAGTTTGTCAGATATACCACAGAGCAGGGCGTTACCAGAATCCAACACAGAGGTAACAAGTGAATGCACCAAAATCTTGCATGCATCTGCAGTTATAAACTGCCGAATACAGCCAATGTTCCTGATCTGGTAGTAACAGGATTTGGCAATAGCGTTCACTTGTTTCTCCATGTTCAGTGAACTATCAAAGTATACTCCTAGGTTTTAAACAGCTGGAACAGTCTCAATAGTTCTGACACCGACCTTAAGCTGGAGAGCCATTGTTTGCTGACACTTTGGGGAAAAGACGATTAGTTCCGTCTTTTCCTGATTAAGCTTAAGCATGTTGGCGTTCATCAAGATACTGATATCTGTCAGACAAGCTTACAGACTTTCTGAGACTGTCCTGTGGTTTGATGACCATGTAAATGTGTGTCATCGGCATAGCAATGATAGAAAAGGCTATGGCGATGACAAATCTCTTCAATAGCAATGATAGAAAAGGCTATGGCGACGACAAATCTCTTCAATCGGTTTGGAGTACATACAATATTTTCATGATCCTAACACCATCCCTTGAGGAACCCGAAATCTCGTACTTTGTTATGTGAGGTGGAAGATCCGATGGCAACACACTGTCGTTGTTCACTCAGATAAGACTGTATCCAGCATAGTGCGGTATCAGTCGCTCCATAAGAGTATCCAGACGTTTATAAAGTATGCCATGGTCGATGACGTCAAATGCAGCTGACAAGTCCAGCATGACGAGCACCGCTATGCACTTGTTATCCAATGCAGAACCTATATCATTATGTACACGTCGGAGGGCCGTCTCAGCAGAGTGTCCCATGCAGTAGGCCGATTGCATGTTGTCATGGAGAATGTTTGCATGGAGATGAACCTCTAAACGCCGGGACGCAACCTTCTCCAAGATTTTAAGACAGAAAAGTCAGATTTGAAACTGGGCGGTAGTTTTTCAACTCCTCCTTCTCCATTCCAGGCTTCTTTAACAATGGTCTGACATGCGCCTTCTTGAAACATAATGAATGATTCAGCCAATGATTTGTTCATGATTGAGGTAATCAAAAGAAGCAGTGCTTCAAGATATTGCTTTAATAGGTCTGTAGGCAGTGGATCAAGCTCACAGGACTTCGATTGCAAGGTCATGTTAATGTTGCGCAACTCGTCCTGGGTTGTTGGTGAGAGATTCACCAATGGTTCCCCATCAAATGCAATGTCAGCAGTCATGACAGAGATGTCAATGTCAGCAGTCATGACAGAGATGTCAATGTCAGCAGAGGTGTTCACTTCAGCAATATTTTTCCCAATTGAGTTGATTTTATTTAGAAAGTAATCACTGAACTTGCTTGCTAAGTCTTTTTCAGAATTACAGCTTGGTAGGATAATTTCACCTTTCTGTCCCATTAGGTTTTTGGTGAGTCTAAAAAGCTATCTTTTATTATCCTTACCGCATTCTTCGAAACTTTTCGAATAATAAGCCTTCTTTGACTGAAAGACCTGTGAAGCAACTAGCCGACATTGCTCCCTATAAATCTGTTGGTGAACGGTTAATTTGTTCCGTCGCCACTGTCTCTCTGCTTTTCTACGGTTCTATTTTTCCCCTGCACTGTCTGGGGCCCTTAATATAAAACGTTTGGTAGGCCTATCACTTCGAGTTTGGAGGCCCTTGGTTGGAATCCAAGTACGGCTGTTGCATTTTTTTTCCATCCTGTTATGACAGTAACACATTCACCAGCAGTTTGATAAAACAATATAGTAGTATTATTCTTTTCAACAGGCAACGCCATTTGTTTTTTGCAAACAAAGCTCACAGCTAAATATTTGAAATCAGGGACACGACAATGGGTCTAGATGTAACGAAAACATTCGGGTCATCTTGTTTGGAGAAAAAAAACTTTTCTGGGAATATAGATCATAGTATGAAAACGCCGATGAAACATCATTCAATAAACTTGTAAAGTATTACAGGCGACGCAGTTAAAGAGAAACTAAAAAATACATAATTAAATGGAAAAATATATGACCAGTGCATGCGCAGCAGTTTGCATCTTCTGCACTTTATCAACAATATTTTTATTTGCAAACGAAAGAAATCAGAGCATACCACCATGGTTGACCCAACTTGGCTTCAGAAGTCGCATGATAAGGAGATCTGTTCGCACGATATCAGCAACGAAAACTTGTTGTTTGTTGTCCCATCTTTCTCCTATCCCGGGCAATTCAAGCACCCGCCATCTTAGCTAAGGTCACTCTCGTTGGCACGAGATTTGGTGTAAGCACCGCCCACTTTTGCACATATAAGGAGTGATTGATGTCGCTAAGTTGACAAGGCATGTGCTTAATATATTTTCCTACAAGGACTAGAGGAAAATTAACACTCGGTCGACAAATTAGACTACATATCAAGCTAAAATAGGGTAAATGGCATATGTTAATGCTCCGAGTATGAACATTGTTGATGCAACTATTTGTCGATATTCAAATTCATCCAAAAATAGCTAATCGTGAAACTAGTTAATTAGCTAGGCCTTTATATACTTAAATTAGAGATAAAGAGCACACTTTACTATTTAAATATTTTGTCAGGGAAATATACTGTATAGCTTGTACTTCATCTTTTTTATTTCCTCCGTCGATACCGACGATTACGGAAGTCGGTCTTGTGCTATTATGCGTTAATTATCATGTACAGTGATTTTTTTTAGATTTTTGTTATTTGCTATAGGATAAAAACAGGTTAAAAGCAGTGAGTGAGTGTTAGTTATGTTGTAGGTTTTGTATATGTTCGATTATGTTGTATGTGGTGCATGTCCTGAATTCTGCTAGTGTTTCTGATTGTATTATTGTTTTGGGTTGGAGGTTCCACTGTATTACGGTGTATGGAAAAAATGAGTGTCTGTATTTGTCTTTGGATGTGTAGATATGTATGTAACTAAGGTCGTGTCCTTGACGTGTTCTGGTGTCTGCCGGGATAAGATTGTTGGTGTGTTATTGCTACTTGTTGGTGTATTATTTTGTAGAGAATAATAATGCGTGTTCTTGTTCTGCGTGTAGTGTTGGCCATTGCAAGTTGTGTATCATATCTGTGACGGAGCTTGTGTTATGGTATTTGTTTAGGACATACCGTGCTTCTCTTCGTTGTACCTTTTCAAATTGGTTTATGTTATTGGTATAATGTGGGTCCCAAACTGAAGAGCAGTATTCGAGTTTTGGTCTTACAATGGCCTTGTATGCATGTTCTTTTATGTGAGGTGAATTTATTTTTAGGTTGCGTTTCAGCAAGCCTAGTGATTTATTTGCATTTGATAAGTGATGTTGTTAATGTGTTTGTCCCATTGTAAGTTGTTTTGAAGTGTGATGCCTAGATATTTGTTTGAAGTTACATATTCTAGTGTGTGGTCATGGAGTGTGTATTGGGGTTTAATTTGTGTGCGTTTTGGTGATATAGTGAGTATGGTGCATTTGTCTGGGCGGAATTTCATGAGCCAGTCCTCTTCCCATTTACTAGCTGCATCTAAATCTGCTTGTAGTTTTGTCGTGTCGTCTTTGTTGTTGATTGTTTTGTATAGTATACTGTCGTCTGCAAAAAGTCTTACTTCAACTTCAACTTCAATGTTTTACTCGACAAAAACCATGTATGGTCATCACGTCAAGGGTGACTATGTACATCCGTGCAGTGTGGAGCCTTTGTGCGGTTAAAACTATAAACAATCGGAAAAGTCTATTCCACCTCTCCCCTGACTGCCGCCTTGAATGCGTCCAGGTCCTCGATGCTGGCGACGCTGGGTGGCAGGAGGTTCCATGTTGTGATGGTGCGGGGGATAAAAGAATGTCTGTATGCGTTTGTTGCCATATGCGGAGTGTAGAGTTTGTAGGGGTGGCTGTTCCTTGTTGTTGTGACGGTGGAGTAGGTAGGATGGTAGTTGGTTGGTACTGCTATGTGGTAGTGTAGAATTTTGTGCATAAATATGATGTCCGTTATCTTGCGTCTGTGTTCCAATGTATTCCATCTGAGGTCCTTTATCATCTGTGTAGTGCTGGCAGATTTGTTGTAGTTGAGGGGCTTTTTTAGTACGAATCTTGCTGCGTTTTTTTGTATCTGTTCTATCCTGTTGATGTGTTGGGTTGTGTGTGGATTCCAGGGTGTGGTGCTGTATTATAGTTTTGATCTGACAAGGCTTTTGTATGCTCTCTCTTTTACTTGTTGTGGGCAGTGTCTTAAATTCCTCTTCAAAAATCTTAGTGTTCTGTTGGCTTTGCTGATGGTGTTGTCTATGTGTGTGTTGAATTTGAAGTTGCTTGCTAATTCTACTCCTAGGTATGGGTGGTGCTCTACTATTTCTAATGTCTGTCCCTTCATCTGGTAGTTGTACTGTTGTGTTGTATTCTTGTTGGTGGCTTGCATAATGGCACATTTATTCACGTTAAACTCCATCTGCCAGGTGTCTGCCCATTGACACAGTGTGTTTAGGTCGCGTTGTAGTTTCTCGTGGTCTTCTGGTGTGTTGATGGGTGNTAGTGTACTGTGTGATATGTATTCGGGGGAGTCGTTGATGTATATGAGGATGAGGACTGGTCCCAAACAGGTTCCTTGAGGCACTCCAGATGTTACTGGGATTTTGTCGGAGTGTCCTCAAGTACTACTGTTTGGGTGCGTTGTGATAGGAAGTCTGTTATCCATGTTAGTGTGGTTCCGGTGATGCCGTAGTAATTTAGTTTGTACTGTAGGTGTTGGTGTGGGACTTTGTCGAAGGCATTGGCAAAGTCCATTATTATTATTATTATTATTATTTCTTTATTTTCACGGATGCCATGTTGTAGGTCATGCAGTATTTTGTTGTCTTTTAAGTGTTTCATAGTTGCACTTGTGATGATGTGTTCTAGGAGTTTGCATGCGATGCATGGGAGTGATATTGGTCTGTAGTTTGTTGGGTTGTATTTGTCTCCTTTTTTGTATATGGGGTTTACGTTGACGTGTTTCCAGTGTGACTGGAAATGTTCCTGTATTGAGTGATGTTTGGAATATTTTTGTTAGTATAGGTGCTGTGATATCCTTGAGTTCTTTTAGTATTCTGCCGTGTATATGGTCTGGGCCTGTTGCTTTGTGTGGGTTAATGTTATTTAGTAGTTTGTCGACTCATTGGCATGTTATGTGTATATCTGGCATGGGTGGATGAGGTGATATTCCTTTGTCAGGTATTATTGTGTTTTGTTCAGGTGTGAAGGCTTTTTGGAACTGTTCATTTAATATGTTTGCCTTTGTTTCTGGGTCTGTTGTGAGGTGGCCGTTTTTTACGTAGTGCTATGATGTCTGTGTTTTCTTTTTTTGTGGTTTTGATGAAGGAGAAGAGTTTTTAGGGTTGTTTTTGTTCCTTGTGCTGGTCCCGTCTACAGGTTCAGCTTCTGTCTGTCGCTGATTTTGCTAATAATAATAATAACAATAAGTATTCGGGTAAAAGGCAGACATTACACGTGTAACAGGAGAGGAATAATGCACGCGCGGCCAGACAGGCCGGAGTTCGATCCCGGGACTCTCCGAACTCTAGACGGACACTCTACCAATTGAGCTACCTGCATGGTCGCCGACGATCGACCCAGTCCAGTTCCGCTACACACGTATATCACATTTTGCAAATTGGACATAAATATAAGTAATTTATGCCATAGAATTAACTTGTAATCGGTCAGAGTGTTTAAAACTGGAGTGGACTCGATTAATTTAGGCCTCTACCTGGGATGACCTTACCTTAATCTTAAGTCTCTCCGCACCAGTAGGCGCATACGGCCTCCACGCTTTTTTCCAACCCAATCTGTCTTTCTCTGTTGTATTTGCGGTGTTCCAGCTACTCACCTGGGATGACCCATGTATTAAAAATATGAACGATAGGACCCGCGGAACTAATGCAATATTTTCAGTTATATATATATATATGATTTATTTTAGGCAATGGCGGATCCAGAGACCTATCGAGGGGGGGNGCTCCCCTCTGGATCCGCCCACTGTTAGGGAACATATATGAAACAATATGTTGGCCCGTATGGGATCACAGGGACCTGAGTATTTGTTACAGCTGTATTGGGGTGTGGCATTTTTACCCAAAGTTCATCTTAACCCCTTAATAATGTAAAGTTACTCTGAACACCTTAGTTTATATCCAAATATAACTGTAACAAATTCTCTTGTCCCTTGTGGTTAGAAGTTCACGGCCAGCTGACGCTAAAACGTATCGTTGTACAGTTAAATTTCTTCATCACAGTGATAATTGATAAGAGATATCTTTATATTATATATTCTACATCTATTGGACAGTATGCTATTTGGTTAATGGTTAGAGGCGAGGTTGACTCGAACAGAGAGAAGGTCTATCAAATCAAGACTGACTACAGGGTCACAATAATTACAAATGAATTATAAACTTTCCATCTATTACATGGTGATAAAGTTGTTTTGAACGGATATAGGTTCGCTCCAATTTCGTTTGACGTTGCGGATAATTACCTATCAACTTTCTCTGACAATGATTATCAGGGTGATATTGATATGAAGCAGAATCCTACTGAAACAACAATAAAAGTGAAATGGAGTCCTGACATAGCTGCTGGCTGTACATTGTTACCTGATTGATGTAAATGTCGCCCTAACTCGGATGGCAGGTGGTTGTACGAACGGTTAATGAATGCCCACAGGTCAGCGCCACAGATGATAATACTCTCATCACTATATATGTAGCAGGATTTTGTTCCTAAATAGAATCAATATTTCTCAGCAAGTAAATAAAATAAACCCGTGCAAACCCTCAGAGCTGCCAGGATATATGCATTACAGATTGGAAATGATATAACATCGCGACTTTTGATTGATCTATTTTAGTAAGAGTGCATACGTCTGATGATAGATATACATGTCCGATATAAACAAAAATGACCCCTTACACAGTGTTAGGTTTGGTAACTGACCACCAACGTGTTAGGTGTGTAGTGTGTTTTCTGTAGAATGACAGGTGGGATAGACGTCCTATGTGGGCCTGACTAGACGACTTGGCCACAGTATAACAGGTTGTGTCGGTGAAGGATGATGTGGATGTGTGCTACAATTTAGGAGGATTCATAGGTATGTACGGAAAACAGTTTTTACAAAGTTTTAATAACAAATTGCATTAGTTGTTTCCAACTGATCTAAAGAGGTCTGACCAAATACCCGACTCTGTCACGCAGGCTCGTCAGTCTTTAAGTAATTTAGCCCGAGTTA